AGCTGCGTGAGTACCAGGAGCTGATGAACGTCAAGCTGGCCCTGGACATTGAGATCGCCACCTACAGGAAGCTGCTGGAGGGCGAGGAGAGCCGGTGGGTGTGGGGACCTCTCACCAGACCCACTTCCCTATCCCTGTGACCTGGGGTGGGGAGGGTGGAAGCCCCCTGAAGCCCCTTGGGACTTGGGATCCTGTTGTTCTGGGCCAAGAAGGGCTAGGAGTTGGTCCTGATACCCCTTGTGTCTGGGTACAGGCTGGAGTCCGGGATGCAGAACATGAGTATTCATACGAAGACCACCAGCGGCTATGCAGGTGGGTGTCCAGGGCCCTGGGATGAGGGCAGGAGGCAGGGCCCAGGGAGGCCTCAGCTCTAGGGAGGGGGCTGTGCTCAGTCGCTCACAGTGACCTCAGCCTGAGCATTCACGTTCTTGGGAGAATCCTAGGGTGAGGGTCACACTCTCAGGACCCCAGTAATAGAGTTACTATTAGAAAGCATCCAAATAAACCATAGCTCTGTGCCAGGCACTGTGCTAAGTATACTACATGCTTTATGTGATTTATTAATTTAATTTAGTTTAATTTTTTTTGAAACAAAGTCTTGCTCTGTCACCCAAGCTGAAGTGCAGTGGCGTGATCTCAGCTCACTGTAACCTCCACCTCCTGGGTCCAAGAAATTCTCCTGCCTCAGGCCTCCCAAGTATCTGGGACTACAGGCGCATGCCACCGTGCCTGGCTAATTTTTGTATTTTTAGTAGAGACAAGGTTTCACTATGTAGGGCAGACTGGTGTCAAACTCCTGACCTTGTGATCGGTGCTGGGATTACAGACATGGGACACTGGGCCTGGCTGTCATTTATTTTTTATATAACACCTGTAAATGTCCTCAGTTGAGGAAGCTGAGGTCCAGTTAAATGTCCAAGGTCACACAGCTATATATATGGCAGCTGTTTCCCACCCTGCTCCTGGTTTTCCCTGACAGTGCTGGAGTAGTGGACCATGCGATCAGTGGTCAAGCAGAGCTGGGCTAGCCTCCCATCCCTGGGGCTGTGTTGGGAGTGAGCAGGGGGAAGGGGCATGGAACCTGCCGCAGGGTGGGCTTCTGTACTCATGTGGCTACCTCTGTCCCGCACCAGGTGGTCTGAGCTCGGCCTATGGGGGCCTCACAAGCCCTGGCCTCAGCTACGGCCTGGGCTCCAGCTTTGGCTCTGGCGCGGGCTCCAGCTCCAGCTCCTCCAGGGCTGTGGTTGTGAAGAAGATCGAGACACGCGATGGGAAGCTGGTGTCCGAGTCCTCTGATGTCCTGCCCAAGTGAACAGCTGCGGCACCCCCTCCCAGCCTACCCCTCTTGTGCTGCCCCAGAGCCTGGGAGGGAGACCGCTATGTAGGGTACCACTGGGAGCAGGAGACCCACCTGAGGGCCCTCAGCCCACCCACAGGGGAGTTTACTACGTGGGGACCCCCCTTGCCCATGCCTCCAGCTATAAAACAATTCAATTGCTTCTTTTTTTGGTTCAAAATAAAACCTCAGCTAGCTCTGCCAACCGTCCTTGCTGTGTGTGCATCTGATGCCGACCGAGGTGGGAGGGAGGGGTCCAGGAAGCAGGGGGTGTACAGCGGGAAAGTCTGACCCCCTCAACTGTTCCTAAAGAGGCTCCTTTGTTGAAACCTTGCTCGTTGCCATAGACGTGTACACCTGTATAATAGTCACTGACCTGTGCACAGTGCTTTCTGGTTTACAGCGTGCTTTCAAATACCAGGGTTCATTTGATCTGTGTAGCAAGGCCTAAGAGGCAGGCAGAGCAAGTTTTGAGGGCATTAGCAGCAGAGAGCTTAGTGTGCTTCCCTACACCTTGGCATCCGGGCTATTTGCATATAAGGAAAGCCAGGCTCAGAAAAGCCAAGCAGTTGGTTCACCTAGAAACGAGCAGATCTGGCATTGGGACCCAGAGCTGTCCAGCTCTCAGGCTTGTACTCCTCCTTGGCCAGGCACGTGGTCTTTCCTTGTGGCCAGACATGTCTTTTTATCACCTTCAATCTTTGCAGTCAGGGACTAAGGCATCCTGGCTTTTCCATCCCCTCAGAGGTTCAGAGTCTATTCTCAGCCTTTGGGTGTGTCACACCCACAATTTCCAGAACCTAAGATTGTATGGGACTTGGCTTTGATATGTGGGCTCTTCCCCGCTCCACTCAGTCACAGCCACCACCCCTTTCCTATCGTTTTTATATGCTGTGTGTATGATATAAAGGGTGTGTGTGCATTCTGTGTTTGCATGTGGAGGGTATACTGTGTGTGCATGGGTGTGCACAGTGTGTGAAGGGGTTTGCCTGACTCTTGAGACAACCTCCAAGGTTCAGGGCGGGAGGGGTTAGGACACAGCTGGGTGGAGCAGTGCATCCCCACAGTCCTGCTCCACTGCCACCAGCACAGAGTTCCAGGCAGCCACCCTGTCCATTTGGCATTGGGCTAAGTGCACAAGCCCTTAGCATGACTGAGATGGGGGCATTTCCAGACTTTCTGAAACACCAACGGAGATTAGACAGAGACAGGCAGAGGGTACTGTGAGTGGGTACAGGCTGGTGCAGGAAGCTCCTGTCTGGCTCTGCTGTGGGGTCTCTCTCGAGGGCTCCTGTCCCTGGGCCCTCAGCTTCCCAGCCCCCGGGCTCCCCTCTGAGGGCCCCATCTCTGCACCTCCCTAGCTACCACACAGCACCTCACTAGCTACCCACATCGATGGAGCTGGGCTTTCAGACTGAGCCCAGGAACCCCCCACCGCCAATACCTCCCACCCAGCCCCTGGGCCAGGCCCAGGGATCTGCACACTGTCACCTTAGAGGATCTCACTCTTTGGTAGTACACATTAATGGCACCATTATCCACAGCAGGGACTCTATTTTGGCAGAGGCCCACAGTAAGAAATTCATTTTATCACCACCTGCAAATACTTATACATATATATAGCTGAAATAACAATTCATGAAACAATACCAACCTTCTGCCTTCTGCTCACGTGTAGCCTGGCCCTCAGCAAGAATCAGGTGGGTGGTGTTAGAGCCCGGGGCAGTCACAGTACCCAGTGAGAAGGATCTCTTACCATGGGTGCCATAAGTCAATATTTTCAATTGTGCCCCACCCAATCCTCCCTGAAGCCGGTCACTTGTCTTATCAACCCCTGTTCCCAGAAGTAGGCATGCTGGGGGCAGCCAGGGCTCCCCCGCTCCCCTCCCCGCCCGCCAGATAGTCTCCAGGGATAGTTTCCACGCCCTGGGTGTTTGCTCAGGGAAAGGCAGGATGGCTCCAGGGAGCTTCCTCCCTGCTTGCTCCTTCCAGGTTCTGGTACATCTACCATGGGATCAAGGTCACCCAGCATTAAGGGGACACCATCCCTCCCATTTATCTTTCAGAAACTACACAGACAGAAGAACTGGAAATCCAACTGTCATTTAGATGAGGAAACTCAGGAAGAACAGAAGCTGATATTTCTTAAATATCCACTTCACCTGCTTGTGCGTCATCTCATTTCAACTCTCCAACGATCCTGTGAGGCAGGGCTTAAAACCCCATTCATGGGGGTAGAATCAGTCTAAGCTTATGTAAGTGGTGTCCTGACTCTTGACAATACTAGTTTTTTTTTTCTTTCTTCTTTTTCTATTTTTTGAGACAGTCTGGCTCTGTCGCCCAGGCTGGAGTGCGGTGGCGCAATCTCGGCTCACTGCAACCTCTGTCTCCTGGGTTCAAGCGATTTTCTAGCCTCAGCCTCCTGAATAGCTGGGACTATAGGCGCCTGCTACCACGCCCGGCTAATTTACTGTATTTTTAGTAGAGACGGGGTTTCACTGTGTTAGACCAGATAGTCTCCATCTCCTGACCTTACAAAGTGCTGGAATTACAGGTGTGAGCCACTGTGCCTAGCTTTTTTTTTTTTTTTTTTTTTTTTTTAGTGACAGAGTTTCTTGTCACCCAGGCTGGAGTGCAGTGGCGTGATCTCGGCTCCCTGCAACCTCCGCCTCCCAGGTTCAAGAGATTCTCCTCCCTCAGCCTCCGAAGTAGCTGGGATTACAGGTGCCCACCACCGCGCCCAGCTAATTTTTTTAGTATTTTTAGTAGAGACAGGGTTTTGCCATATTGGGCAGGCTGGTCTCAAACTCCTGACCTCAGGTGATCCGCCCACCTTGGCCTCTCAAAATGTTGGGATTACAGGTGTGAGCCACCGTGCCCAGCCTTTTTTAAGAGACAGAGTCTCATTCTGTCACCCAGGCTGGAGTGCAGTGACACAATCTCGGCTCATTGCAGCCTTCGCCTTCTGGGTTCAAACGATTCTCCTGCCTCAGCCTCCCGAGTCTGGGATTACAGGTGCCCACAACCATGCCCAGCTAATTTTTGTATTTTTAGTAGGGATGAAGTTTCACCATGTTGGCCAGGCTGGTCTTGCACTCCTGGCTTCAAGTAATCCGCCCACGTTGGCCTCCCAAAGCACTGGGATTACAGGCATGAGCCACTGCGCCTGGCCAGTAATACTAGATTTTTAACACGTTTAAGTGTCAAGAATTTTTTTTTTTTTTTTTGAGACACAGTTTTGCTCTGTCACTCAGGTTGGAGTGCAGTGGCTTGATCTCAGTTCACTGCAACCTCCACCTCCCGGGTTCAAGCGATTCTCCTGCCTCAGCCTCCCAAGTAGCTGGGATTATAGGCATGCACCACCATTCCTGGCTAATTTTTGTACTTTTAGTAGAGACAGGATTTTGCCATGTTGGCCAGGCTGGTCTTGAACTCTTGACCTCAAGTGATCCATCTGCCTCAGCCTCTCAAAGTGCTGGGATTACAGGGGTGAGCCACTGCACCCGGTCAACAATTTTTTTTGAATAGGTAACAAATACATTTTATATATAATTTTTTTTTTTTTTTTGAGACGGAATCTTCATGGCATGATCTTGGCTCACTGCAAGCTCCACCTCCCGGGTTCACATCGTTCTCCTGCCTCAGCCTCCCGAGTAGCTGGGACTATAGACGCCCGCCACCACATCCGGCTAATTTTTTTTGTATTTTTTAGTAGAGACGGGGTTTCACCATGTTAGCCAGGATAGTCTTGATCTCCTGACCTTGTGATCCGCCTGCCTCAGCCTCCCAAAGTGCTGGGATTACAGGTGTGAGCCAACGCGCCCGGCCTTTATACATAATTCAAAAGTACAAAAGGACCCTTCACCAGTCACTCAGTTTCTTTTCCAGAGGACAGCAAATGCTACCAGTTTCTTGTGATTCATTCCAGGTAGAATTTATTATATATAGTTGCATACGGACATACATGCATACATTTCTATGTATCCTTCATGAAGGGTATTGTACTATATGTGTTGTCACATGCCTTGCTTTAACATTCACTCAATACCTGTTCCTTCCATATCAGCATTTAAGTTGCTTCTCCACTCTTTTTCACAGCTGCATAATATTCCACTTTGGGATGTGCCACAATTTACTTAACCAGTCCTCTATTGGTGAGTATTTTCTATGACAATGGTGAGGATATCTTAATAATTCCTATAAGTGGAATTGCTGAAGGAAAATGTATGCACAGTTAAATTTTAATAGACATTTTTTTAAAAAGCTTGATTTCTTGTGGGACTGAATTTTAGTTTTTTAGAAAATTTCCATGTGTAGAAGAAGGTTCCTGTTTGACTATTCCAGATGAGCCAGGCACTATCCCCCACTTCCCTCCACCCTGCCTCTCCCAACCCAACCCCCCGGGATTAAAATGATGAGTCTTCCAAGCATTTGTGGACTCTTCTGCAGATATTTTAATTCCAAGGTTTTGCTCTGCCTGTCCAGTGGTCTGGGCTAAGGTGGTCTAGGAGCTCCCCTGTAGTAGGGGGATCCGAAGGTGGGCTAAGGACCGAAGACCAGCCTGACTTGAGTGTAAGGTGGTGGCAATGGAGGAATGAATGTTAAAGCAAGGCATGTGACAATGCAAACAGTACATACCCTCCGTGAAGGATAGATAGAAATGTGTGCATGCACGTCCCTACGTAATTATAGATCACAGATTTTACCTGGTGGGAAAGGAGGAGGAAGCACCACTGCAAGGAAGGGAAGGCAGAGAAGGAGACCAGCATGGTGGGTGGCCCCCTAGTTCAGTCTCCGCGCTGCCCTTTTACACATTGTGGTGGGCACAGTTGTTTTGTCTAGCCTGGACCCCTTCCCCCTTCTTCTAGTGACATAAAACTCCCCCACCTCTACTCCTGCCACGCCCTACTTCTTTTCAGGAACAGTTCCTCCTTAGCTCGCAGGACCCCTGTCCAGGCACACGGGGTTCACAATGGGCCAGCCTTGGCCAATCACAGGTCCCTTTGTTTCCTCCTTGCCAAGGCATATTGTACATACAATAAAATTCAAAACGTTTAATGGGGAATGTACAGCCTGGTGAGTTTTAACTTATGTTCACAACTGTAATGTAGAACATTTCCTATATCACAGAAGGTTCACTTGGACCCCTTGCCAGAGTGCACTTTTTTTTTAGTAGACTTATTTTTTAGGAACAGTTTTAGCCGG